CCAGCAGCAGCACGACAGCGTGGTGGTGGTGGAGGAGCGCGGGACTCCAGCAGGGCTTCGCCAAGCACTACGAGAGATGAGGAGGGAGAGGGGTAGGGCTGCGCCAACAGGGAGAGCAAATCACATATGTTGGGCAGCCCCAAACCTCAAGTATATATAGGGGAAGGGGAGGGGCTGCGCCCCCACCTAGGGTTACCTCCCTAGGGGTGGCGGCAGCCCCCAGATCCCATCTGGGTGGCGGCCACAAGGGGGAGAGGGGGAGGCGCACCTGGGGTGGGCCTTAGGGCCCATCTGCCCTAGGGTTTGCCCCCTTCCCCTCTTGGAGGCGCCTTGGGCCTTGGTGGGAGGCGCCTCAGCCCACCTAGGGGCTGTTCCCTTCCCACTATTGGCCCATGTAGGCCTTCGGGGCTGGTGGCCCCACCTGGTGGACCCCCGGACCCCTCCGATGGTCCCGGTACACTACCGGTGATGCCCGGAACACTTCCGGTGGCCAAAACCATACTTCCTATATATCAATCTTTACCTCCGGACCATTCCGGAACTCCTCGTGACATCCGGGATCTCATCCGGGACTCCAAACAACATTTGGTAACCGCGTACATACTTTCCCTATAACCCTAGCGTCATCGAACCTTAAGTGTGTAGACCCTACGGGTTCGGGAGTCATGCAGACATGGCCGAGACAACTCTCCGGTCAATAACCAACAGCGGGATCTGGATACCCATGTTGGCTCCCACATGTTCCACGATGATCTCATCGGATGAACCACGATGTCAAGGACTTAATCAATCCCGTATACAATTCCCTTTGTCTAGCGGTACGATACTTGCCCGAGATTCGGTCGTCGGTATCCCGATACCTTGTTCAATCTCGTTACCGGCAAGTCTCTTTACTCATTCCGTAACACATCATCTCGTGATCAACTCCTTGATCACATTGTGCACATTATGATGATGTCCTACCGAGTGGGCCCAGAGATACCTCTCCGTTTACACGGAGTGACAAATCCCAGTCTCGATTCGTGCAAACCCAACAGACACTTTTAGAGATACTTGTAGTGTACCTTTATAGCCACCCAGTTACGTTGTGACGTTTGGCACACCCAAAGCACTCCTACGGTATCCGGGAGTTGCACAATCTCATGGTCTAAGAAAATGATACTTGACATTAGAAAAGCTTTAGCATACGAACTACATGATCTTGTGCTAGGCTTAGGATTGGGTCTTGTCCATCACATCATTCTCCTAATGATGTGATCCCGTTATCAACAACATCCAATGTCCATGGTTAGGAAACCGTAACCATCTATTGATCAACGAGCTAGTCAACTAGAGGCTTACTAGGGACATGGTGTTGTCTATGTATCCACACATGTATCTGAGTTTCCTATCAATACAATTCTAGCATGGATAATAAACGATTATCATGGACAAGGAAATATAATAATAACCAATTTATTATTGCCTCTAGGGCATATTTCCAACAGTCTCCTGGATCTTATCTGATGAGAAAATCACGTTTCCGAAGGTTTCATTCCGTTTGGGCTCCGTTTGATTTTCCTTTTCTTCGAAACCCTAAAACAGGCAAAAAAACAACAATTCTGGGCTGGGCCTCCGGTTAATAGGTTAGTCCCAAAAATAATATAAAAATGGAAAATAAAGCCCAATATAGTCCAAAACAGTAGATAATATTGCATGGAGCAATCAAAAATTATAGATACGTTGGAGACGTATCAGCGGTCGCGGCCAAGTGGGTCACCGCACGCTCTTTCCCCCACCATGCCATGTCTGCCGTGGACTCGTGGCTGTTCTGTGCCAAGCTCGCCCGCCAATTTATGAAGGGTTGGGGAGCAAACCTTGGTAGAGACCTCCACGAACGCAAGAAAGCCCTCCTAACTGCCATCTGGGCCTTGGACACCCGTGTGGACACTTCCAGGATTTCCACGGATGAGTGGATGCTGCGTTATGATCTTGAGGATCAGCTCTCCACCATCTATACGGATGAAGAAGCTTACTGGAGGCTCTGTGGTACCCAATGATGGGTGCTTCGGGGAGACACTAATACAGCATACTTCCAGGCGACCGCGAATGGGCGGCGATGACGGAACTCCATCCATTGCCTTTGGGATGGAGATTCCTAGCTTGTCCGCCCATCGGACATTCGTGCACACGTAGATGGCTTTTACAAAGACCTATTCTTCCCCACCCCTTAGGGTGGGGCCGCTCTGGCCCCCGACACCTGGTCGGGTGCCCAGTTAGTGTACGACGCGGCTAATGCCGCCTTAGTTGCACCGTTCTCCGAGGACGAGGTCCTCACGCCGATTAAGGGTATGAACCCCTCCTCGGCCCCGGGGCCGGATGGACTGCCAGTGTCCTTTTTCAAAGCATTCTGGCAGACCATCAAACCGGAGGTCATGGCCCTCTTCGATGAATTCTTCTCGGGGACCATGGACCTCGGGCGCCTAAACTATGGAGTCATCACTCTCACCCCCAAAGTCACGGGTGCGACTAACATCCGCCAGTTCCGGCCTATCACTGTGATCAATGTGATATTCCGGATCCTGGCCAAAGGGTACACTAATAGGGTGACCCTTTTAGCTGACACAATCACTCATCCCAATCAATCGGCCTTCATTCAGGGGCGATTTATTCTGGATGGGGTGTTGGTTTGCCACGAGGTCCTTCATGAAGTCCGCTCCAAACACCACCGGGCGGTCTTCCTGAAGCTTGACTTTCATAAAGCCTATGATACGATTCACTGGCTCTTCCTTCCGGAAGTTTTGCTCCGCAAGGGCTTTGATGACCGCTGGGTGACCAGAGTTATGTAGCTCGTCTCCTGCGGTCGGACCGCCGTTAACATTAACGGTGAGATTGGTCCCTTCTTCCCCACGCTTTGTGGGGTTCGCCAAGGTGACCCGTTCTCCCAGTTCCTGTTTAACATGGTGGTGGACGCCCTTGCGGCCATCCTGGACAAGGCCAAACCGGCGGGCCATATCCACGGTGTGGCCCCCCACCTAGTAGGAGGGGGAGGGGTCTCCCTCCTCCAATATGTCGACGACACCATAATAATGGTCGAGGGCTCCGCGACCGATATTGCCAGCCTGAAGTTTCTCCTCCTATGCTTTCGGTAGATGTCCGGGCTCACTATCAACTTCGATAAGAGCGAAGTGATGATTCTGGGATACCCGCTGAACGAGGCCCAGGGCATTGCTGACCGACTTAATTGCCACCTGGGTACTTTCCCCACGACGTATTTGGGGATACCCATTAGTGACTCGCAACTCACCATGGCGGACCTCCGCCCAACCGTGACCCGGATGCAACACCGGGTCGAGCCATGGAAGGGACGGTGGCTCCCGAAGGCGGAGAGGGTAATCCTCATCAACTCCTCGCTTGCCAGCCTCCTCTGGTTCCTCATAAGCTTCTACAGCCTGCATGAGACGCTCCATGAGGGGATCGCCAAGTACCAGTCCATTTTTTTCTGGGCAGGTGAGGGGGACAAGCAGAAGTACCATATGGTGAGCTGGTCTGACATTTGCAAACCCAAGGACCAGGGAGGTCTGGGGATCCTCTCTTCTCGGCGCATGAACTTTGCTCTCCTGACCCGTTGGCTCTGGCGTATCGCCAACGAGGAGGGCGGCCTCTGGCTCACCATCATCCGAAATAAGTACCTTCAGGGCCAACCTTTAGCTTTCTGCCAGTGCTCGGGTGGATCCCAGTTCTGGCAGGCGGTGATCCAGCTTCTACTCGTGCTCCATATTGGCACGTCCATCTCAGTGGGCTCCGGGTCCTCGACCCTGTTTTGGTTCGACCGCTGGCTAGGGGACTCTCCCCTGGCCGCCCGCTTCCCGGTCTTATTTGCCATTGCGGTTGTCCCCCGGATCTCCGTCGAGACGGCCCTTATTGACTTAGGGTGTCTCGCCTTCCGGCACCCCTTTGGCCCCCTTGAGGCGGACGAGTGGGACTCCCTTCTCCAAGACATCGCTCTCCTTCCGATGGACGTTGAGGGCGCCCCTGACTCCATTTCTTGGCGTTTGGAGCCCTCCGGCCGCTTCTCCACGAAATCTCTATACGCGACCATTGCTCCTTCGTTGGCCCCTGAGCCCTTTAGCCTGATCTGGGACATTCGCCTTCCCCTCAAGATCAGGATATTCCTGTGGCAATGGATCCGGGGATGCCTCCCCTCTGGGGTTGAAGTCCGCAAGCGCAATGGCCCAGGAGACGGGATGTGCCCTTTGTGCGACACGGTGAAGGACTCGAACCACATCTTCTTTTCCTGCTCCACAGCCCAGTTCTTGTGGTCCTGCTTCCATGAGACGGTCGGTGGACATTGGTGCAACACCAACTTCCCGACTTACTGGCTGAGATCCACGCCTCCCCCCTCGCTACCGCCATATTAGATGGCTGTGCATTGGGGTCCTCACTTGGACGCTTTGGAACATTCGCAACAAATTTGTTATTCAGAAAGTGCCTCTTCGACGTGTGACTGACGCGATCTTCAAAATGTGTGGCTATTTGCAACCCTGACGGCCACTTAGCCACTCCCAGGACCGGGACGTCATCAAAACCCTCCTCGCCGACCTTCGATCGATGGCCTTCCGCGTGGCGCCTCTGTTTCCGCCACCTCCGCCGGAGCCTGATTAGACATGATGCGCGTGTTGCGGTGTCTGTGTGTGTTATTTGTTTCTAGGGCTTGTTGAGCTGTGCCCTCAGCACTAACCCTTTTGCTACTTTATTTGTGTGAGACTTGTATATGTGTGTGAATCTTGTTAAAAATTTGGCTCGAACGATTTGCTTTATATAATATAAAGTGGGACGAAAGCCTTTTTCCGAAAACAACCGTTGCGGCGGGGCAGCCGGCAGACAGAGGAGAACGCCCCCGCGAAAAGTTCCGTTCTACAGAGCCGCACTCTGTTTCAAACCCTTTCTCCACTTGCTTTCCACAGTTCTCCGCCTCCGCCCCACCGAAGCTAGGGTTTCCGGTCGGAATCGCCGCGAGAATGCCGGCCAGCGCTGCCGAGGCCGCCGCGGAAGGCGAGGAGAAGGCGGCGGAGGCTGGGGGCAGGGAGCTGCTGTACTGCGGCACGGTGCGCTTCGACATCATGGGCCGGAAGGTGAAGGGAGGGCATGAGGGCAGAGGCAACCTGGTGTCCCCGACGCGGCTGCGCCCTCTCGTGGGCGTGGACATCCGCTTCGTCGCCTCCGGCTGCGGTGAGTTCCTTCCTCCTCTCCTCCGCGTCCGAGATGAGCTCCTTACTTTCCTCCACTGTATTTCTTCATCTAATGTACTCGCCCAGTTTGTGCGCGGAAATGCCTGGATTGGCGGATGGTCATACAATTTGTGGAATGATGCCAAATGCTAGAATCGATTTATGGTCATAGCGATTTTGCTAATGGATTCCTGTATTTTGCTTGCCAGCGGCTTGCCACTGTGTTGCTCTGAGTGCTGACGGCCGTTGCTTCTCATGGGGTCGAAATGAGGTATAAGTATGAGTCAATGCCTAATTTTTATTCGGCTTCTTGCTTAACACCTTTTATATCTAGCAGAATGGGCAGCTGGGACATGGGGACACTCTCTTGCGTAACCTGCCAACTGTTGTTTCTGAACTATCAAAGTAAGATAATTGTCTGCATTGCCCTTCATTTTATTTTTTCAAACAGGTGTATATGGCATTGTTGAATCCAAGAATATATATACCATCCAATATAGTTGGACTACCTAATCCAACAGTGTTATATGTTTTCTCGACATGTTTCTAAATGCTAATTAGCAGTTATCAATTCTGCAGATATAACATAATTGCAGCAGGTGTTGGAAGAAAACATACAGTGGTCGTAACTGACGAAGGGAAGTCCTTCGCATTTGGTGACAACAAACATGGACAACTGGGGACCGGTTCACTGAAGAGTGGTTGATACCCTTGCCTTTTCTTTATCTTTATGATATATGACACAACTAGAAGTGCACCAAATGCAACTCTTGTGTGGAAAACTCACTTTGTGCTTGGAGAAATTGTGGAAGCATCTGCTTGGAGCATACTCTCAATTTTTTTGACATTTCCAGTGGGTTGCTTGATGAGACATTAGTACTATAATCTACAGTGTTCTTGTGTCACCTATTTTTAGAATCTTTGTTAATATGTGGCAGACATTTCAATTTTTTCTGGTACCCATGTTATCAAGATTGATTTAGATTTCTACCTTTTTTGGGTGACAATGAAACGTCAAAACCATATACTTGAGCATACAAACTTATCATAGTTCAGGATGATGGGGTAGTTCTGACAACTTTTTGGAGATATGACCGTATGGGCAGCTCATTTTCCTGTTTGATTCTTACCCTGTTGTTACGAAAAAGGGTTTCCCCCCGCTTTATATTATAAAGCAACAGCACCAAGCATCCAACAAGTCAAGATCGGTACCTGAGTTGTTCTATATTTGCTGCAGGAACTGTGGTGTCGCCAGTCCCCTGCCTTGTTACTAAAGCGACTAATGCTGTTTGTGGTGCTGACTTTACTGTCTGGCTGTCATCAGTCGAGGGCTCTTCAATACTGTATGGCCTCGCTGAACTACAAAACTTAAAGATTAGCAACCTCTTTCGTCTTTCAGAATAAGCAAAAGGCTTTGAGCGTCTTTTCATGATAACATCTTTTGATTAGTATCTGCTTTGACTTCAGTTAGTGATTTTGTTCTTGTTCGTCCAATTTTTGAAGCAGTATTTTATTTTTCTGTGCTATTTAGGACAGCAGGTCTTCCCCAGTATGGCCAACTTGGTCATGGAAGCGACAATGAGGTTTATTTCTACTCTGTAACATATAGCACCTACTGAGTTTGCATTCATCAGTAATTGTGATTTGATTTGTGATATTACAGTATAATGCCAAAGTTTCATCGGTAAGTCTAGTATATGATCCCCAGCCCCACCCCAGGGCAATAGCTGCATTTTCTGGGAACACTGTTGTCAAAGTTGCATGTGGAACAAATCATACAGGTTCATTTCCTTTCTTTCTTTCTCTTGTTAATTTGAATCATCAGGATCAACACTGATATTAACACCTTTGCTATACTTGGATGTGCAGTTGCAGCTGATTCATGTGGCTTTGTTTACACGTATGTTCCTTCTCCGCCATTAGTTTGACACTGTTACAATCCAGATAGTTATGACTACTATTGTCTCTATACGTGTTGTATCAAGTCCCTTTCTGCGTACATAGATATGATTCCTTCAGGTCACATATTTATGTTCTCTCACATAATTCTTTTTTTTTTACCAGCTGGGGTTTTGGTGGATATGGAAGGTAACCTATTCTTGCCATGTATCTCACCGTATTCAAGATGTATCCTACATTGTTCACCTGTCCACTTTCTTATTACATAGGTTGGGCCACAATGAACAGAAGGATGAGTGGCAACCACGCCTTGTTGAAATATTTCAAAAGAGCAATATCCTGGGTCCCAATGATATCATCTCAGCCGGTTCTGCAAGTTCTGCCTGCACTGCTGGTGGTATGATGCATATATATCTGATGCACATGCTATTTTATCATGCTACTCTGGGATAAAATTACTACATGAGTTTATTGCTTGGACTATATGGATAACTATAATAGGAAAAGGCAGTTTTGAGAATATACTTTGGCCGGATCACATATGGATCAAACAGCTCTTGTGATTAGTTTACCTTGTACCTTAAGCTGGTATTTAGTTTTGTTTGTGTTGCATGTCTTGGTGAGCTGATTATACAATTCAAACATGAGATGGCATGATTCTTGAATCATCCTATTTTTCATCTGCAAGTTAGATCTCGTCTCGCCTATAATTGGAAAATAGTTTTTTTGCGAATGGAAAGGAGTATTGGTGCTATACCTTGCACTCTGTCAATCAGATTCGTGTTCTGTTGACTGTGTTGCACTGCTGCAATATTATTATTTTTGAATAAAAGGGTGGACCTTCCAAGTCCCATTTTTATTAAGTACGAGGCCACAGTAGCAGTAGCTGTGCCAGAATATCAAAGTTTTGAAACAGTACCAACATACTGTTGCAATATTTATGACTGCTATATTTTAATCATTGGTCGTTTGGTTTGATTTTTAGGTCGCGGGCAGCTGTATATGTGGGGAAAGGTGAAGAATTCAGGCGATGAGTGGATGTATCCAAAGCCAGTTATGGATTTAAGGTTCCTTGCAAACTGTAAAATACCATAGTGATGAACAGTGCCCTCGATGGCTAAACTCTGCTGTTCAGCTATTCTTATAACCAGCTTCCTGTTGAAATAGTATTACACTCAATTATCTTTTTAATAGATGATTTGTTTGCTTCAGTGGTTGGAACATCCGCTGCATGGCTTCTGGTAACATGCACCACACTGTTGGTGCAGATGATTCTTGCATAAGTTGGGGCCATTCTGAATATGGAGAGCTTGGTTATGGTCCAACACAAAAGTAAATCTATTTAAAGTGCTAATGCTATGTGGAATAGAAGTCTTGCAACCTTCGAGATTTCAACCATTGAACTTCTCTTACCAATTATGTTGTGCATTATGTAACAGGTCATCTGTAAATCCTAAAAAGGTTGACATTCTTGAAGGAATGCATGTTACAAGGTAATTGCGTGAAATCAGCATGTGAATGTAGTCCCATCCTCTGTTCATACTATTATTTAGTACTAAGCTCAGAATACTTCTGCAGTGTTGGTTGTGGAGTTGGGATGTCTCTGATCGTTGTTGACAGGGCAAATGTTGGTGGTAAGCTTGACCAGGTAAGTAAATGGGCTTTCATGCCCGAGCTGTTTACTTGCTTCAAGTTATGGATAGATTAAAATTTAATGCAATTTATTATAATTATTTGTGATGCTAAAGCTAAACAAAAGAAACGAGTTGAATAAATCAGCAGCATGACTTTGGGTCATGTAGTGACTAGTGAGTTATGTCTGTTAACATGCATGAAACATCTCCTAAACAACTGAGCCAAAGCATATTAATATTAGTGACAGAGCTAGGTCATCAATGAGACATTCTAATGACGAGGAATCAACTTTCAGGAGGTTCCATGAAAGAGAATTATTGATCCACAAACGTTTTTAGGGAAATTGTTTGTCAATTTGGAGAGTGCCATTTACTCATGTACCCGCCTCCCTCTTTTCTTCGGTTGTCAGTTGTCACGTCTTCTAGTGCTTAAATTGACAATAACATGCTTCAACACCCAAGATTAGGAATGTGACTACTGACTAGTTTACTCAGTACCTTCTTTTTACGGGAATATTTGAGGACTTGATTGAAGAGACTGGTTTTTGTTAGAGAGAACTGAAAAGACTAGTTAAGTTAACTATACCCCGTAATATCAATGTGTTCGTTACATCTCCTTTCATTACCACGGTCTAATAATATATGTATTATTACTTTTGTCTCAGCTGGATACTTTTGATGGTGATGCTGATGCTGTCTTTCAAGGTGTGCATTTCTCTTATCCATTTTTAAGATGGCATAGTATTAAACTTCAATTTGTCTGCAAACTTTTTTGAAATTTGATGGGCAAATCATTCTAGTTTTGCTTGGTCTGTTGCAAATGAAATTATTATCCTTGCCCAGTATATTCAGTATATTGAAACTAGGTAATTGTTACTTGGTTTTTTTAGAGAACACGAAAGAGCTCTACTTTCCTCCGCGCCGCAATGGGAAAGGAAAACCAAATACAAATACGAGCCAACATCCCGCAGTCGATGAAACAGGTACTTGCCAGGTTTCCTATCTAAGTTCTCTCGTACAGTAATCATCCTTGTAGCCAGTTTTCCTATATAAGTTCTCAATTCGTATATTTATATTCAGACGTCATCAAAACATATATATGATGCATGTATCTCAAATCTTGTAATATGAGATTAAACAGTTAAATACAAAGCAAACCTGAACATTATATGCTAGAAGGATGGTAGTGAAATCATAACATAGAGATTCATCATGAAATTTAGAAGTTTTATAAAGTGCAAAAGGAAGCAAGTAATAAGAAAGATCAAAACTTGAAACTGATGTAGTGTAGTACCGAGAACTGATGTATAGTGTAGTACATGATGCACAGGTTACCATGCCCATTACTCCCCTTGTGCCACACTTTTCAAGCCTAGTTCAAGCTGGCCCAAGCTTAGCTTAGAAAACTATCGGGTAGGTTGTTGGTCATTATTGGGTTTGGCCTGTTCACGATAAAATTATCTAGGCAGCAGCGACCGCCACAGATTCAGGTTGACTGGTTTTGACATCAAGTATTCGTCCTGCTAATGTTGATCATAATGTTTTCAGCTCAACATTAGGCCCCTAAGTAGATATATGTTCTCCACTGCTATCCTTTCAGCTCAACAATTGGCCAATCGTTTGCTGCATTTTTGTCTTAAAGTTTCCTTCTTATGTTGGCACTACGTCAAGCACCAGCAGTTACGATGCATGAAATTCTGGATCTTATTCTCGCACTCGAATAACCCGGCACTTGTGCCATGTTGTTGCTGGTCAGCCCCTTCCTACCAAGATTTGGGCAACTGATCACAGATCTCATGCTATTCGCTATCAGACCAGAAAACAGAGACCCCACTAGTGTGAAAAAGTAGTCAAGGTCCATTGCAGTGGTACTCTTTGTTCCACTGAATATAGTGGGCTCTGTTTAGCTTACAGCTTCCTGATTCATTTATTTTTGTCCATCCAATTCTGGTGCTTCATCCCAAACTGAGGCCTGAGCATGGGTGGTTTTGGACCGTTTCACTGCAGAAGAAGAGACGTCCGAGGCGGAGCAGGTCACCAAGGCGGCATCTCGCACCACGAATTCACGGTCCAACAAGCGCAAGAAAGCCTTGGGACATGCAGAAGCAGAGGACGAGGACGAGACTGGTGAAGTGCCCGAGGAGGCAGAGTGTGGCAGCCATGGCCGCGGGCAGTCTACAAGAAGGGGCAGAGGCAGAGGCAGGGGAGCCAAGGCGGCGACTCCGGAGCCAATGCCGTCCGGTAGGGGCAGAGGCAGGCCCAAGAAGGGGAGCCCTGGCGCTGCTCCTCCGGAAGCGGAAAGCTCGGGACGAGGTGGAAAGAAGAGCGGGAAGCGAGGGAGGCCTCGCAAGTGATCCGCCGGATGAACCTCGGGCTCGCCAACGTTTTTTGGGTCAGGCTAGATGGCAACGAGAGTGGTTGCTAGTCGTTGGTGATGCCATGCCGAGGTAGTACGTACGTGCCGTGGGGCCTGGCTATCCCAGTATCCTGTAATATGGTTTTGAACTACTACTGATCTGATGGGGATGCGAAGGGCTAGCTATGGACACTGTAAGGCACCGGCGATGATGCTATGAGCGACTGATGGTCTATGAAGGAATGAACGAGTCATCCTGCATGAGTTTTTCTGGAAGAATGTATGCAGAGCAAAGTGATAAGAACGCTCAGTTTTATCAAAAGACAAACACGTTCAGGAAGAAGTCTGTACTTTTCTTTTTGAACTGAAAAAGAGGTCTGATACACCGATAAAAACGTCGGCATCAGGCCATCGAACTTACAGCGCCCGTCTTCGATACCAAAATAAACGCACAAGATCGATTTAGGGTGTGTTTGGTTCAAGTTTTGAACAGTAGTCGCATTGCATACACTTCTCAACCCAGCTTGGTTGAGCAAAAACAGCCCCAAATGCGTCATCTGCAAGTTGTTTGGTTGCCTGCATCGAGGGTCGCTGCATTAGGTAATACGCAAGTGCAGTTTGTTTGGTTGCCTGCATTAGCCCAAGTGGCACATGAACACGGTGTTTGGTTGCTCGCATGGGGTGTGATTAAGAGTTAGCACTTGCACTTAGCACACAGGGTTAAGAGTTAGCAGAGGGAGGGGGAGAAGAAATGCAGTATGCGCCGGACCGTGGCGACTGCGGTGGATAGTGGCTATGGCGCCGTGTTTGACATGACGAGCATGGAGTCGGCGACGAGCGACCCCGTCGGCGGCACGGCGAGCAACACCGTCGACGAACTAGTTGCGGTGCTCGCGCAAAGACAGTCGACAGAGGAGGAGAATGCAGTGCTCGCACCATGGTATCGTCAGTGCAGTGGACGAGAGAGGAGGCCGAGATGATCAACGTCGGGAACGACTCCAGTGTAGTAGGGCGAGAGAGAGGAGGCCAAGATGATCGACCCCGTCGGCGGTGCGGCGAACTGCAGTGTGCACGAAGGCAGAGGACACAAGAAAGCAGTGTGCACGCCATTGCGCCGTCAGTGCAGCAGAAGGACGACAAAGAGTAGGCCGAGATGAGCGACGCCGGAAACGACTCTAATGTAGTAGGACGTGGGCAAGGAGATCAAGGGGAAGAGTTTCGGCGTCGAGAGGAACGAATAGGAGAGCTCTGAGTAGAGGACAGAGGAGCTCGACATGGCAGCGTCAGTGCAGTAGACTGCTGTTCATAGAAAGATGAAGTTACAATCGTCGAAACCAAAAATTTACAACACGAATGTTGTGAGGAACTGCGAGATTAGGCTGCTGGTCAAAGGAAATTTCAAATAATCGATCGTGTGCGACGAATCTGACAAAATTCGTTCAGAATAGCTCCAAACGGGAACACGAGATTAAAAACTTACAGCCGACGAAACTACGAACCGATCGCCTGAATGGAACCGTAGCATCAAGGTGCATCTTTTTCGTGTAGAGCTTACCTCGAACCGAAGCACCATTATGTAGATCAAAGGGGCGTAAAAAAAAAGAGATTAGGGAAGAGCTTACTCAGGTTGAAGAAGACACCACATAAACAGCCCGCATCTCTGCGCTTCCGCTCCCGCATCTCTGCGCTTCCGCTCGACACGGCTCTAGAAAAATTCTTGGGTTCTCAGCGAGGCACGCCTAAAAATATTTTAAGTTTCGTGTTATGCAGGCCCAGCAATAAAACCAGACAATCAATTAACCCATTCCCTTCCCGCGTGGGTGTCGTTGGGCCTCCGTGCAGGCAACCAAACACGCCCTTAAAGACCCGAGTACACGCTGGCCGCCCGGTTACAAAGGCCACCGGAATCAATCAAACCCACCACGCCATGGCGGCCGCCGGCGCAGCATTGCCGCACGGTGATGGAGGATCCCTCGCCGCCGCCGTTAGATGACTATGTTGTCTTCTTCGAGCGCACCGTACCGATGCTCGACGTCTCCGTCGTCGCGTCGCACGGGCGGTTGCTGCTATGCCGCAGCCGGAGCCGCTACTACGTGTGCGACCCGGCGGCCAACCGCTAGCTCGCGCTCCCGCCGTCCAGCGCCGCCAACTCTGCTCTCCACTGGAACTTGGACGCGTCCACCGGGCGGCTCGCGCTCACCGTCGTCCTCCTCGTCCGGCGCAGGCGCCGACGCGTACTGGTGGATACCTTCTCGTCTGCGACCGGCAGGTGGGACACCACGGAGCTCGCCGCGCCCAGCGCCGCCCGCTGCCTGCCTGCCGTGTCCCCCGGCGTCCACGTCGGCACGTGCTTCTACTGGCTGAGCCAGCGCTGGCGGGACGGCCGGCATGTGGGCCACATTCTCCGCTACGATGCCGCCCGGCCGGTGGTCGCGCCTCGGTGCTGCGCGAGCCGCCGCTGGCGGAGGATGCCAAGGGCCGCATGGACTGGTCGCTGGGCTCGGTAGGCGGCAAGCTCCGCCTGTGCGCATTTGACATCCGCGACAAGGGAATGTCGATGCGACCCCACGACGACAACGTGGAGGGCGTGCATGGCGTGTGGCTGATGGACGCGGCGTCGGCGTGGCGCCGCGTGCACGAGGCGACGGTGGAGGACCTGTGGGCGTCCCACATCGTAATGCTGTGCGGCTTGGAGACGCCGGTGGACTTCGCCGGCGCGTGCAGCGAGCTCATTTTCGTAGTGAAATGGAGAAGGCTGTGGCGGTGTGACCTACGGAGCGGCAGCAAGTTGGAGCTCTACCGTCGCACGGGCAGCGGACGGCTAGACGCACTCTGCCGCCACTACAATGCGTTCCCCTTCTTGAGAAACATCTATCTTTACCACTTGAGGTGGTGATCAAATGGTGCTCCATTTAAGGTGATAATGCAACGTAACAGGTCCATTCTTAGGTTTATTTTGAGTTACTATAGCTTTATAGGACTTCAGGGACTATGACTCTTTTTATTTGGGTTTTTTTTTTTGCTTTTGTAGATTTTTCACTTTGACAAGAAAAACACAAAGGTTCTCAAATAGGGTTTTTTTCCCTCGGCTATTGGCTTATGAATCAATATTGTTATATGATGGTATAAGCCAAAAGCCTAAGCAAAAGAAACACCTATTTAAAATATTTTTTTGGCTTTTTTACCAAAATAAAAAAGCTGCTAAAGCAAAAGTCCAAACAAATAGGGCCTATGTTGAGATTCAATTTAGATATACTAGTTGAGTGTACATGTGTTGTGACGGAACAATAAACTTAGATATTGAACCATCGTTATATTTTCCTCTAAAAACAAATTTCACAATGTGTGCACCAAATGCAACTTATACATGTTGCAATAAAATATGGCTTTGTACTTACTAAGAGAAAATCCAACCGTTCCTATAAAACCTTTCCGTAAGGGCATCTCCAACGCGGACCCCCAAAGCGCCCGCATACGTCCCATCCAACACGGTTTTGTATCGGTCTGCCCGGTGTCCGGACCACGTTTTTCCCGCAAACCGGAACCAAACCGGGGGGAGGGGGAGGGGTTGCAGAAGTCCGGACATGATACACATTGGACTCTTACACCCATGGCCCACCTAAAAGGAAGACGGAGTCCGCGCTTTTGTAGCTTCTTGCTCTATTTCTACGGCAAAATCTATTGAAAATATGCCCTAGAGGCAATCTCGATAAGTGTTTATTCTCCATGCTATAATTGTATTAACCGAAAACACAGATACATGTGTGAATACATAAACAAACACTATGTCCCTTATAAGCCTCTACTAGATTAGCTCGCTGATTAAAGATGATTAAGGTTTTCTAACCATAGACATGAGTTATTATTTAATAACGATATCACATCATTAGGAGAATGTTGTGATGGAACATCGGCGTCATTAAAGTTGATAAGTGTTTATTTAGTTTTCATTTTTCTGTTCCTTCTTCGATTTTTTTGTTTTTCATCAGTTTTTTAGTTTTTTTGTTTCAGTTTTAATTTTTTTTCATCGATTATCTTCGTTTCGTTCTCGCTTTTCACAACTTTTTGTTTTCTTTCCTTTTTTCTCCATTGTGTTTCAATGGTTTCCTTTATTTCTTTCTCCTGTTTTGGGTTTCTTTGTTTCTTTTTCTTTTCTACACAGTTTTTCTCTTGTTTTCGTATTTCCTTTTTTTCTTCGGTTTTCTTTTGTTCGTTCCTTTGTTTTTTAAGAAAATGTCTACATTTTTGTTACGCATTTTAGATTTTCTGTACACGTGAAGAACATTTATTTAATACACGTTTAACATTTTTAGAATACAAGATTAACATTTTTTTCAAATACATGTTGCAATGTCTATTGTTTTTATACACATGATACATTTTTTATATACATCCAGATCATTTTAATAAAGGCTTAACATTTTATATATATATATGATTAACCATTTTTCTAAATATATGCTTTGATGTCTAATTTTTTGTGTACACATCGTACATTTTTGTTATAGAGCCAATAAATTTTTTATACATTTTTATCATATTATTTATACAAGTTTAACATAATCTAAATACGTTATTAACATTTTAACATATACTTTTGAATATCTATTTTTTCTACATATTATATATTTCTTGTATACATCAGTTACATTTTTTGTATTACACCTTCAATATTTTCCAAATACATGATCAACATTTTTCAAAACTTATTTTTTGATACTCTTTTCTATACACATTGTACATTATTTGTATATAATTTTTAATATATGGGAAACATTTTTTCTGTAGACATTTAACATTTTTTTAATACATGCTAACATTTTTGGAACATTTATGTAAAGTGTTTTTTGAAACATATATATTTAGAATACATAGAAGTATAAAAAGGTAAACAAAGATAGCAAAAATATGAAACAAAAAGGGTAAAAAAAAATGAGCCACTAACCTCCCGTGTATTGAGCTGGCTCATTTGGGAAGGCGCCTGGTTACGCATGCGCT